ATAGATAGATAGATAGATAGATAGATAGATAGATAGATAGATAGATAGATAGATAGATAGATAGATAGATAGATAGATAGAGAATATATGAATATATTTCATTTCAACGAGTACGATTTTTAATATGGAGAGTAATATCTGTGACTCTTAGACCCTTCTGTCCCCCCTGGAGTACTGCTTTAGTTGGGGTTCCTATCTAATAATAGACTCACACTTGTGATTCAAATTAAACTTAATTAAACCCAAACCCCTGTGTAAAATTGCATTCTGTAATCATATTCAGCGAAAGAAATAGAGGCGTTTCAGATCCGTCAAAGTTCGGCAACGGATGTCTCAGCTGGCTGCTGGATGGATAGTATACTCTGTGCTAAGTAAGCTTTAGTCGCGAACGGCTTGTAATTACAAGTTCCTCTCCGTCTGAAGAGCTTCCCGTGGAACCTTTTCCAGTAATCATTTTTGAAGCACTATGGGGATGAATTAATCGACTTTCTCTAACACTACTGTTATCGGAGTCTCTTCAAGTTCATAAGATAAACTTATCAGGAACGTTTGTACACTGGGAAACCTATCAATCTCTGCGATTTGCTCGAGGCTTTACCCGGCGATCACGGTACTGAAATACTTGGACTGGGCCCCAATGGGCGCATACCGAACTCCATTAACAAATTACCTAATGTTATTTCCTGGCAGCTGTTGAGCTATCGGTTGGCCACAGGAAGCTGGAGAGAATCCATAAATGTGCTTAGAGGTGATTGTTTTGTGTCTGAAGACTGCCTTCACAATATTATTGCTTCAATGCTCTTGCCGAGGGAATCCTCTTTTGAGTTGAGATAACGGAATTGTGGTGCCACATTTCGTGGGAAATTCTCAGGTAGACTTTCCTGATTCGTCACCTAGGGAAATCACCCTCCGTCACAAAGTTATCCAGCGAGGGACAGACAGATATGGAGCTGCTCTGCTCTAATCTCTCCAGGATCAGTATTTCTACTTGTATAAAACATATCTCTTTCTCAACCGGGACCGGACTCGCCCCAACATCACCATCATTTCTTCTGCAATTAGGAACCCTCGGTCTGGATATTGATCCGACCCTGGCAAAGTTACCAGTTGTAATTTGCATTTTTACAACATTAAGTCGGTTTCGATTAGAAAGCATACCGTACCGATATTTAACGATATCACGGTGGTATTCAAATGAGGGTATCCTATTGGTATGCAAAATGCAAGCGTAGGCAATTGATTTTTGGTCTCGACTCATTCACCTTCGACCATACAAGATTGAGTTGACCAGCTGTCCCATACAAGATGGTCAGCCAGCATGCCACAGTCCGAAGAGCCTACACAGGCCAATATGTCATTATCCATTGGACAAATGAAGATGGTCAACTTGAAGGAACCCATTTGTAAAACTTGAGATAATACCCCTGAATGGTTTGCATTTTCTGTTGGCAGAATATCATCTGATGGTTTAGGATGGACAACTGCTAGCAGTCAGCTGTTAGGCGTCTTGCCGTTGCGATGGTAACGTAGTTAAAATGGTAACTGGATAGCAGAACCTATGTGTCCTTGTTTTATTGTCCCTACAACCACAAATTGGTGAGTTCTCTTTTGGACCGGAGAAAAAAGAGACAAGTATTGCTTTTTGCAATGAATTACCTCTTCGTTGCTTAGCGTGATAAATCGGAATCTTTTTGTGTTTAAATCCGAAGAGAATCCCTTGCTGCCCTTTTGTCCACGGTGGATGACCCATGTCCAAAAACCGACACTGGAGTGAAACGTGCCGTTCAGAATCTGCTGGATCGTATGAAAACAATGAAGCAGGTAAGCACTGCGAGTTCTGGCAACGTACGGCAGAAGAGAACCTATTCGTGCTCACTAAATGTTATGCCAACTTAATCTTCAAACGATTTATTTCGGTCAACCCTTTATTGGTGTTAATGACGAGTCCATTTAACCATGCCTATGAACTAGGTCTATATATAGAAAAAAGTACTGAATTGTCGGTTAACCATCAGCTGCAGATCTACTACCATTTCAATCAAACACAAAAGCCAACAGGTTTTAATCTTTTATGATGTAATAGAAGGCTGTTCATCTTGCATTTATACTTTTGCCCAAAAAGCCTGATTGTGATTGGTCACATTTTATTTCATTGGGAATTCTTGATCGATTTTTCTACATTACTGAAGATACCTCTGTGCTGATCTACTGCTGTTTACGCTAGTTACTCAGAGGCAAATCGCCTTCACCAGAATAGGACCAAGACAGTTTGAATAAAATAACAGCACTTTTGGCTGTGTGTGGACAGATCTCATGCTTACTGGTGCGTCCCCAAGGGGCGATTAACACATTAGTGGCTCTGTCATGAGCAAGCTAGACTCATGTTCCTTGAGTAAGTGGGATTGGAACAGTATCAGTGCCCGAGGAACTGGAGTGACTTGTCTGACAAGTGTCCATTCTCTAAAGCATCATGAGTCTGACAATCGTGGTCAGATGCGGAGAATGGAACCCACTACTGATTAGTTCATCAGCCTCTATCCCCTACTAGGGTACGTTATCCAGAGAACGAAAATGACACCGACTATCGGCTTGTTCCAACCAATCTTTGCTGGTTACAGAGTAGTTTTCAAAGAGCAAACAATGCAGTTGAAACGGCTTGTAATCTTATCTCCTCTAATAATATCTGCAGGTCATTGTGGCGTACCAAGCCAACTTTTTGTATGCACCATTGTGTAAGAACGCAATAAGAAGTATCAACCACAGCAACAGTAATCACATGGGCCGGAAGGCAGGCCCACAGCAAATAAGTGCAACCGATTACAACCGGTAGGGAAGCAATCGAATAGGGCAGGTAAACCGGCGAGAAATCAGTCAAGTAGGTTGTTCAATAATGAAATCGGAATGGCCGAAACGGACCAGAGTTAAACTAGAGTGAGTCTGTGTGTCAAATGCAATGGNAAAGTTTGTGATAAAGACGAAGAGCAATGAACAGCTGCTTCGTCCCGTTTTTGACTCGTCAGCAACGCGTACGTTTTATGTCCCTGTCAGGACTCGAGCCACGAATATTTGATTCGGGACTTCAAACCCTTACCTCTGAGCTACACGGTCGACGGTCATCACTTTGTGCAAATGGCTCAATCAATTTAGATGGTGAATGTTCGGATTAGCCCATTCGATTGTTCAGAGGCACCCGGCGCTCTTGATGAGCTTGGGTGTAGGTTTCACTCCTTGGGAAATCGTTAATTCCCCAGGACGAAACAGCTGTCCAGTGCTGTTTGTCGGTTATCACAAACATTTCCATTGCATTTGAATCCATTTACCTCGTTGGAAATTAACGATCTATCAAGATCATCAAGATTTCCTGGTGCCTCTGAACAAGTCAAGCTAATCCAAGCTTGATAATCTAAGTCTGTATGTATTGCGTCCGTGTGAGGTGGTGAGCAGCATCGGCCAACCGTGTCAAAGACGTGTGGGGTCAGTGTTTCGGCCAGCTGCACGCCACCACATTTCTTAGACAGGAAACGGTCGTCACCAATGAAGCAGTATATCCTGTTTACTGAAGTGAATAGTTGTGAAAAATATTCACAGCTTTATCCAGTTTGTGATCGCTAAACTACGGTCTGATGTCGTTTTGCTCCTCCAAAAAGCAAACCAATGATTAGACTTGGGTAATTGAACGACCTTTTTGGATGTTCCCGATTGCAAAGAAATTGGTAAACTTGAAACAAAACAAAATCTTCATATTTCCCGCGGCGCACCACTTAAAAATGTGAAAACTCGTAAGGCTGAAGGCAGTTTTGGTCCATGATCTTGCACATTTTCACCTGTTTGCAAGAATCTTAGTACTCCCACCAGAGCATGATATACGGACAGAGTCTAACCGGCAAACGTCGTGTGCTATGCCCAAAACACAACCGATGATGTTCTGTTCTTCTTACTTTTTGAAGCGCGGAAACTTCAGATTATTTTCAGGAAATTATTCATTTAGATAATTTAAATTATTTGTCATATACTACGATGTTCAAACTTTTCTAGCGTCTTTTGTTGTTATTCATCTGATGAAATAAATTCATCAGTTGGTGCTTAATGTGTTCTGGGTGGTCTGTGGCAGAGACGCCGCAGTCTCCAAAGCCAACTGTTCAACAAAACGCGTTTTTGATGCATGGAATATTGAATTCTTTTCCAACTACTTATTGATCGCAGCTTCTGTTCCCTTATTTCAGGCTGGCGATGAATTTCAGCAAAAGGTGCTCCAATTGCAAAAGCAATGTGAATCACAGGTCAAAAGTGGCACCACCGCGGCCGAGGAATTGAGAGCGACAAGGCAACGATTGAGTCAGTTGGAAACGGACAAAGCACAACTGGAAAGTGAGCTGTTCAGTCTGAAAACATTTAGGCACGAAGATGATCGAGTGAGCAAAACACAGGTGAGTTGAGCGATGGGGGGAGGGAGAACTGTCGTGATTGGTGTTCATTGACTGAAAATCAGCGACTCACGTCTCCGCAATTACCACCGCCACAGTTGTTTATAATTTGGTTTGACCGACCTCTCAACCCAGCTCATATTTGATTGCTGACGGTGGAGGGAACATACTGGATTTTGAGCAAGTGAAATTTAGCGCTAAGTGTTAGTCTTGTGATATTCATCCGGTCTATAATCATTATTGTTTCCATCGGGGATCGATTGATCAAATCCTCAGCTCAGTTTGTTCAATTTTAGATCCCGTTTGACAACGTCAATTTCGCATTGCAGTGGCTGAGATTGACACAAGTAAGCTGAATTGAAACTGAATTTTAAAATCGAAAATCGATAAGCAAAGTGTTTACAGTACGAAACGGAAAGATCAGAACGTGATTCATCATTTATTATCCTTGCATGTTACATACGCTGCTGAAGCCGCGTACAGAATTCCACGGTAGATGAATCTATCTTTATGAGCACTTAGTGCTGTCTGTGCGCACGATTAATTTCAATCAAATAATGAAACCGCCTATGTTTCGATAAGCAGCTGGAATGAAAAGGCGGCAAAATGTACTCTTGGAAGTTGCGAGATTGGATTTTCACCAATTCCTCAGTTCTAATCAGGACGCAAGATTGTTACGTTTGCTCCTCAGACGGTGATTTCTGAATCCAAAACTGTCAGCATTCTGAGGCGGAGTGAGGAACTGCACAAAGTTGGTAGAAATTATCGAAAAATTCCTTGAGCTTCTGTCAGATCATTTTGCTGAAAAATCGGTTTTGCAGGGGCATACAGAACGGAGGATTGCCAACAGAAAATAGTTTGTTTTAGCTCGAAACCAACACACTGATTGGTATAAACTAGGTTGTGCAATTAAACAAACCCGTCAACTTGTGCAGACGTTTTGCTTCGGCCCAACCAGGTGGTCTTTGTGTGACCGCGGCCCCTGACCCGGACGTTTATTGTACATCTCTCTATGATCAGTAAACAAAAAATAGTAAAAAGGCGTTCACAAAAGGAAACTATTTTGTACTTTAACGTACAGAAAAGACATCCAGTATTGTCCAACCGCGAAAATGTGATTGTAAGATTGCAAGAGTGGGGAGCGTAGGCGTAGATTATATCTTGCAATTTTGATCGCATTTTAGGCCACAAACGCTCTAAAGCATGTCTTCTCAGAAAACACCGGGCAAATGGGAATGATAAAGTTCTGGACTCGGTACCCTCAGATGCTAATCAATGGACAAATCTGCTCAAATAATTTACATCCCAGAGATTTAAATCATTTTACACATAATCACACATTTACATGTTACTATGTTTATGGAATAATATGCATCATGTTTTTAAACCTCACGTCATTTAGTCCATCAAATGCCCGGAAAACACAAAAGCCTCGAATTTACTTACGTTACAACTAACCAGTATTCCTTTAAAACCGCGTGACCAACGACGGTAGCGCATCAAAAGAGATAACCGCCCGCATCTCCAAGGCTCGAGCAGCGTACGCAGGGCTTAATCACCTGTGGCGGCGATGTGATGTTTCAATGAGGTTGAAAACTAGCGTATACTGCGCCACTGTCCGATCAGTTCTGCTGTACGGTTGTGAGACTTTAAATTAGCGGGTAGAAGACATCCGTCTCTCAGTGGTTTTCGATAATCGATGCTTACGTAGCCTATCCCAAGTGGAATGCATTGAGCGGGTTAGTAACTTAGAATTAGGTAGTCGGGTGTTTGGGAATGCATCGAACAAGAACTCTCTATCACATCGAATCCAGCTTAATAGGCCCCGTTGGTTAGGACACTTTTTGCGTACGTCCAACGGTCGCCTACCGCAGCGCGCCTTATTCGTAGTGGTTGTTACAGGCTGGAGAAAGCCACGCGGAGGCCAGTAGATGACGAGGAGACGAGGCATGAGAAAATGCACAGAGCGATTAGGTAGAGTAGGTGTCTCTCGTCTTTCGAGTTCGGGTCCAAAAGACTCCGAACTCGCATGGTTGGAGACACTGAAGATCATAGCTGCAAACCGACAGCAATGGCGATCGTGCCGTCACATCTTATTATACCAGAATGCTTTAAATAGTATTATGTATGCACAGTTGGACTGTGTACTCTTTGTGTTGACCACAGGGGTTCGCTTTCTTTTCCCGTCCCTAAGATTAAGTTCAATCCTTATCCTCCTTGTACATTCTCACCTACCTTGTATACGTTATGGTTTTGACAGCGATCAGTGAAGCTCGCTTCACTGCATTACTTTGTACAATAATCATAAAAAAACTATACGGTACAGGATCGACATAAACCACCTGTCGGTGCGTTACCCCTGTGTCAAACAACCCAGAACCGATTCCCAGATTAACGTCTGGTTCAACGTCGTCTTCAGAGATCGTTCGCCAATTAATTTGTCTCGATAGTAATGCAGTAAGGCACTTGATACTGTCAGTTGGATCAAATCAAAATCTCGCTCCCCAACAAAGTAGATCCACAATAAAACTTCAGACACAACTACTGTAGCAGACATTTGGAGTAGGTTTTTGGATGCGTGAATGAACGAAATACTAGAGGTTTTTAGATTATCGTTACCACGTGTTATACTGTTTTATCCGGGGCTGTCGGGCAATGGTTTAACTAACTTACCCAGAATCAGTAGTCTTGGGGATTTTCCGGGCGGAGCTGATTGGCCTAGTAGTATCACGGATACCTGCTGTGCGAAGCACCTCAAGGTCAAACATTGAATGTCCCCGGGGTTATGCATGAGCAGTTTTCTTTGACGAAAGCGAGTCTTGTGCTACCGGGGTTTAAAACGATTCACTATTTGATATGATGGTCGTATGTCAAATCAAATGTCTGGAGGATTACAGCACGGATTTGTTGTAATCTAATAACAACAACAGGTGGAAGAGTTCATTCACTGAGTATACATAGTATTTTCTTTGCTATTTTCCGTGTGTAGGTTCATGATTTCATTCGAAGGTTGGTCCAGAGGCTCGGTATTCCATTCGAACATGCGGATCGATCAAGTATTGAACTGGTGACAATGGCTCTCGGTAAGCAATCCGCTACCTACTTTTCTCTTCCTGACAGTTCCTTTTCATATACCGGTGGGATTTCTGTTGCAGCGCTTTATCGATTTTGCATCGCATTACATTCGCTAAATAATTTTGTGGTGCGATGTTTTCAGGCAGTCTGACCAAGGAGATGAAAACTTTCACAATGTAAACCGAAGCAGTTTATCGCAAGTGATCTGGTTCCGCACCATACTGGTGACAGTGTTATTCTAGCTATAGTCTGTTCCCTGAATAACTATTTAATGTGTTCTCCCTGAAATGTATGTGAAATCACGCGCACAGGTGCATTTTCAGAATCAGGTAACATATATGGAAGCACAGCAAGAATAGAGAAGATAGAATAAACTTGTTTATTTGTTTGCTGAGCTTAGGAATTTGCTTGCAAACGATTCCTTGACAATTCGTTAGAACCGATAGAAGACAAATAATGCCACATATTAATATTTCTTTTAATTTCTTCAGTCGTTGCAACGTGAAACAATCTGGTATTTATACAAGCAAGTTTTGACAACCACAGTGGTAAAACGGACAATAGTCAGGGAAGCGGGGGAGAGGGTGGAGTGGGAAATCAGGTCCATGGCAGTCTAAATGATTGAGTAAGAAACTTTTGTGCACACAGGACTGGGTTACGTAACTTGATTAGCATCACCTGGCTAAACGCCGAAACCCTGGGGTTCGAGTTACGTAATAACGGCTTGAACGACATTTGTAGGTCAACGATGTGTCCAGTTGCCATGAGATGTTTTGCGATTGATGATCCTGGATTTCTCTTATCGGTTTGACCTCTGAGACTTTGTTGCGTCATCGATTGCACCAACCATTTGGGACTGTGTTCAGACATCCGTTGTGTCAGGGGCCGATTCGTTCTGCCGATGTAAGTGTTACCGCAACTGCAGGTGAACTGGTAGACGATATGTGAAGCAGAATTGTTCGGCTGGTTCTGTTTTCGATTGTCTAAACGAAGTCCTTGGGTATACGGTATCAATCGGTATCAATCCTTGACAGCCAAAATCATCTTTTCACTGTTTGTGCAATGTTCGTATTCTGATCCTACCCGTTCAATTAGTTATGTCCTTCTTCGGTGATGTGTCTCTCCGCTGATCTTGTTATTCACAATACATTTAGCCGTTGAACTAATACGAATGAGTGTTATTCTTCCGTCTTGCGTCCGATCATTTGGTCCGTTGTTGGTTCACCCAGCATCACCTTTCGTCGATTGTATCATCTGCTCCTGGAGTCCCGTCGAGAGGCACCTATGATCCAATTTGATTTGTTTTTCATTGCGTTTATCGAACAGTCCCAGGCATTAATAAGTTACCTAACGTATTTGGACAGGGCCTTTCTCATTGATTCCTATAAACCTAAATTGAATTTGCTGTTCTTTTTAATTTTCTTCAAGATAAAATCAAGGGAAGCTTCGAAGTTACCGGGTTGTTTGCTTTGATCGACTTGTACCTGAATAGATCGACATTTCGGGAGTAGATAAATGAGTGTTTACCAAAGTAACCAACGAACATATCCACCATCTGTGAATTTATGGAGCTAGATGTAGTAATTGTTTTAGACGCGAATGACGAAGTGCTGGTATTTATCTGCTAAAACCTACCCTAAACGAGACGCAGGAACAAGGGTCACCGAAGTAGCGGTTCATTTACTGGAAGAAATGAACGGGAATGAATAATCGGTACAAAGGATTGCTATAGGCTAAAAAGATCTTAACCAATTACCTGCTTGTGTTACTTCGTTATATAACTTCTGTTCGAACAACTGACTTGTTGATATTATTGGTCTGTCGTTCCTTGTCCTGAATGGCGCTATCTCGAGGGTTGGATCACCACGATAGGCTTATAAGCATACTTTCAATTCATGAACCAATTCTACGAGCAACTAAAAAGTAAG